GTATCTACTTATTCAGCTTTATTTCTACACAAGGGGAGTCTGCTTTCCTTTTACAGTTTTTTTTTTTAACGATTGCTATGACACTTTTTACAATACTTTTAACAATTTTCCTAAACTCTTAACACAGTTAGCACAACATCTGTCTCTGAAGGCTATGCTAACACATGCTAAGGCTTACACATTTCTTGTTGCTTTAACACAAAATGCATACATTTAACACAAATTTAAATTGCTTGAACTTCTTTTACACACAAGCTCAACCAAGACCAAAACAATGGATTTTTACTGCCAAATTTACCAATCATTTCACACTGTATGTCAGAACAGATAACATCATGTTCTAAACCTAACCTATAGGGTAAAGTCTAAGTGAATAGCTGTTCATATTGTAGATTGAAACACAAATATAACCCCTGTATTTTTTTCCATTGCTACTGAGAAACAGCTGATTGAAGTTATGCAAAAAGATCAATCCCAGCTGATTACCGTAGGAACACACTCAGGGGTTGAGGTTCTTTCAATCGCATGCCCATATGTTATACAGTAAAAAATGACCTCTTTGGACTGATCGTGTGTGGAAAAGGAACAATATAGAGCCAACATAAAAAAAAGTAAATACAATGCCTGCACAAGGGAGAGGAAGACGAGTACCAGGACAAAGATTTTTCACATGCTCAACAGATGTGCAGTGAAATGTGAAGACTGTTCTGCAAGGCCATACAATAAACACTCAAATATTACTACAGTAATACACATACAGTAAATGTAGAAATATACTGTAAGATAACATTAAAAAAAAGAAAAGTATAAATATTCAAAATGTAAACAGTGTAATGAGTAAAGTGTCAGTGCGTAAAGGTGTCAAAATGCAGACGAGTACCAGGACATGGGAGAGGAGGAGGACAAGGTAGAGGGAGAGGAGTTAGAATGCGCGGTGGCGCTCAAAGAAGGGCCAGAGCTACCTGATGAAATGAGAGCTACTATCATAGACCATTTCATAAACCACGGGTTATCATACAGAGTGGCTGGTGAACGAGTACAGCCACATTTCAGCCGGGACACAGCGGCATCCATTGTCCGGATTTTTCAAGAAACCAACAGGTAGGATATTGTGTAAGGCCTTCTCTTACTGCAAAGTGTAAATCATTTGTACCTTGTATAACAGTTACTGTAAGCCTCCGGTTTCTAATATGTAACTGTATTTTGTCTCTAAGGATTCAACGTCTACCTCCCTGAGAGGAAAGCACCTACTGTAAATGAAGAACAGGAACTTGCCATTTTCAACATGGTGATTGCTGACAATGAAATAAAACCTTTACTGAGCAATTCTGTCTTCTTTTTTTCATAAACCATACCTTCTATAAAGCTACTCTGATATGGGTCATTCCTTTTTTTGTTTTGAATTCCTGCAGCAAAAGAAACAAAACACATGCATTTACTTAACCCAACAAAACAGAAATGTAGAGAGGCTTTAAAAGAAAATGCAGTGCTAAACACAATCTATGATCAATACAATATACTGTCTATTGTATAAGGGCAGAGCTCGACACATTTAATGTATTGTAGTTTCTGTTATTCCATCTGATGTTAGTGTTTTTTATGACATTGTGCTATGATTGACTAAATGTTCCTGTTGGAGCCAAATGATGTGTTTAGTTTGTGTCATCTTATTTTCCTTGTGGTTGTGTGTGTTGGCCCTCTACTGGGCACTATGTGTAGCCTGGGCAGATGCTGTGGTTAAAGCAAGGCTCCAGGTGAGGTGGGACAGGTGATTGAATGGAGGCAAACAGTTTTTTTTACCGTGTCAGCCTGTCCAACGCGGATTTGTTTGTTTTATTTATAGACGTAGTGGTTCGTCATATTTTCCTTTATTTGATAAGAAGTGTTTAAAATAAATGGATTGAAATATCCAAATCAAATCATCAATGGACTGTGTTAATTTCTTTGAGCTAAGCACACGTCCGAAAGCTTCCACATTCATCCCTCAAAGTGACTTTTCCAAACAATATTGGGTTTGTTAAAATTGGTCACTACAGTTCCTGTTGGAAGACAACATGAGTTAGTGTTTTGGAAGATTTTTTGATTTTGAGACATGTTTACAGTGTGTTGTGGTGGACATGGTGTAATGTGTTTGTATATTATTGTATTTTGAAAATTAGTGTTAGAGTTTAGTTTACAATGGGTGGTTTTGAGCATGAAATGAACTGTTTTGCCAATTGGGTGTTTTGGTGTGTTAAGAGTTTAGAAAAATTGTTAAAAGTATTGAAAAAATTGTCATAGCAATCGAAAAAAACTGTAATGTAGTTTATTCAGTTGAATTAAAAAGGTCTACTAAGGAGAAAGAGAGGAAACGGATCAGTGTCTGAACACATGAAGGACACAGTGCCACCTCCTGGGACTCCAGCAGTACTGGTCACACAGTGTATTTATAGAGTTGCCTGTAGGACAGGCAGGAAATCAACCCTACACCATAAACTGTCATGACGAGCAAAATGTGCAGGATCATCCAGCTAAAAACACAGTGAGTTTGTGTTAAATAAAACTATATTTGACTGACATTTAAAGGGAGATTGTATTTTTTTTTCATTCTAAAACAATAATAATAATAATAATAATAATAATAATAATAATGAATTGTAGACCTGTTTCTAGAAAGCTTTAATTAAGAAATGATTCACATTCAGTGTTTTTGGTGAGGGCCTGAATACGGTTCAGTTTAATGCATGTAAAGTTAACGTCCCATATTAAATATAAATATATATGAACTAGATTTGATGCCATGAGGTATTACACTGCCTCCTCTATTTATAAAAGTGGTATAGGCTCAGAATAAAATGTATGTGTTTGTTATAAAGAAAGCTTCTTTTGGAAACATGTCAATCTTTGGCACAAACACATTCATCTTTATATATGACGTTATACATACAATATTTTGTAAAAACAATGTCATTGATGAGCTGTGTGTAACGTTATTCACCCAATGCTGTTGTAGACTATACTTTTGATAAGTGGTAAATATGATCAAATAATAATCCCCTACTATATCCGTCTACTAGGGACGTGACAATTCACTCAATTCCAATACGATACACGATCATGGGTTCACTATATGATCCTCTCACAATTTATTTTACAAAATGACTTTTCAGTGTGGTTTGGCCTTTTAAAGTTTTTTTTTTTACTCATAACAAGGGGATTGGAGCTTCTCATTGTGGTGTCTATGCTGCATCATGTTGGTTGTGCTATTTGTGTAGTTCCCTTTCTTCTTGCAATATTCTCACCGGCAAAATGCTTCCACACCTCCGATTTAAAAGACGGTGGTGCGTCCTCACTTTCAAAATCTTGCTCTACAGCTGCTGACGCTCACAATATTATTGTGATTCATTTTTCAGAGCACCGATGTGAATCTTGATACCTTTGAATCGATTTATCACGATTTTACAATTAATCTTTACATCCCTACGGTCTACTGTTCCTGTCTCATCATCATCATCATCGACCCCACAGGAGAGTCTCCTTTGATGAATTCAATACAAATGCAAACCACATCTTACACACCGAACAGCTTCACTTGGACTGACAGGCAGGAGTTTATAGGTGGGGAATAGAGAGGCTAAAATAGGATGGAAAAAAAGTATCATTCCACTTTTCCCCCTTAGGCTTTACAACATGTGTTCCCTATATTTTGGCTTATTAAATGTAAAAAAAAAAAAATAAGCCATTACCAACCAGTTAAATAGGGTTAATTAATTTTGAATACATAGTTCATACAAATCTGTCATTAGAGCCTTAACGAATGTTTGAAAAAGTAATACACCGTTGTTAAAAACATGACAAAAACTTATTGTTGGTGAGTTTAAAGGTGCTCAAACATCCGAGACTTTAAAGTGAACTGCTAAAAGTCAATAACTCATTAATTGAGCTCTTTGAAATCAGATCCAGAGGACAAGCTATACTGTAAGTGAACGATGATTTACAAACATTTACACATAAATCATTTGGATTTTTTGTGTGATAGTGACACGTGCATTTGTTGCTCTAACAAATGAACTGAAATGAACTACAACTTCAGCTTTGTTGAAGGGGAAATGTGCAGAAAATGTGCCTTTTTCTTGACATCTAAAACATAAAACATAAATCTGTAATAAGCACACAGACATGTGAAACTAATCATCTGCCAGATAGGATTTAACTATCATCCTCTATTCCCTGTTGGGTATTTATTGCGTAATGTCTAATATAACATAATATAACAATAATAATGATAATCATCATAATAATAATAATAAAACGTGTATACAAAACTACTATTTAAAAAATATGTATACTGTATAGCAATGAATTGCTCTTTAGCAGCTGGTTCTCCAGTCTTCATTTCCAGAGTGTCCTTGAACACACCTTACAGCATTGTACACAATAGTCCCTGACGACATCTGCAATATCCTGCAACCACTTAATAATTTTTCTGTTGAAAAAGTTGTTTTTTTTTAATTAAAAGTAGTTAAAAGAGAGTGCTCAATGTTGTGTAGTCTCTCTTAATGAAGACTTAATGAAGAAGATTTAATGTGATTCTCATGAATGAACTGATTCAATATAAATTGACAAAATTGAAAATAAACCTGGGACATAGGGCTTCAATCAAGATTATCGATAATAAAATAGAATGAATGTGTGTATGATTCTTGCTTTAGGGTGAAACCAGCTAAATGATTCTCAAATTTGACTGACAGTTCCAAAATAATCATTCTTTACAGTCAAATGACCTCCCAGAGTAGAAAAGATTTTCAGAGTTGGCTTAATGTGATCCCAGTTTATGTTAAAGAACAGAAGTTTTTTTGGAGGGAGATGTTTTAACACCGAGTTAAGTTTTGCACATACAGTAGTAGTTATGATTGGTGATACCTTTAGCATAGTTACATTTTTCCTTTAAGAACATTTAAAGCAGGTATGTCTACGGATGTTTTAATGTGCGTTTATGTGTGTTTTGGGTGGAGCCATACCGAGCTGGTGGGCCTTTCTGAGGCAGGAGAGGGAGGCGTTGAGTCGAGCGCACTCCTCTTCGTTGGCACCGAACTTCTGCAGCAGCTCACACACCTGCTCCTCGCTCAGCTCCAGCAGGCCCTCAAGGGTCACCTCACCTGGACTCATCTCCTACAAGATGCACACAGTATGACAACAAAGGATACACAGATACAGAACATGAAAACACCACATGAATACAGAGAATACACTTTTGTTTAGAGTTAATGATGCACTCAACTAAAAGCTTCAAGTGACAGTGAAACAATGTTTAACCCTGATAAAGAATAAAATGTAAAGAGATGAAACATAATTGCATGGAGCACTATCACTGAAAGGTATGTTACTACAACTGTGCACTTAATGGGAAGATGATTCCCCACACTGCTGCTACAACATTAGAAGATCTTTTGTTAATATTTTGAGAGCATAGCTTTGTGAGGAAATTTTGTGTTGGACATTTTTGTTTTATAAGAAAAGTTATAGGATTTCTGGGCGGCAGCATCTAGTGGCCGCACGAGGAACTTCCGCTTACAAAGCCCACTCATGTAAAACCATCAGACAATCAGCAGACACATTCTGAGGAAGAATGTGAAACTGAGAACAGACAACAAAAGCTACGAGGAAAACCGGTTGACGTAGAATAATAAGAATGTACAACAGCAGATGCTTCCATCACAGACAAAATAGATCACTGGATGGTCTATGAAAATGTCAAATGTTATGGCCCTCACTGTCATGAGAGTTAGGCTGTAATTAAGGATTATTTCATGTTGATTTATCTGTTGATTAGGCTCTCAAGTATTGATGAATGGAGTGTCTACAAAATGTCAGAAAATGTTGTTAAGAAAAAAGTTGAAATGTTTTAATATCCAGATTTAAAATGTTGCAGAATTTCTATTTTTTTTCTTTAAAAGTTACTCAAACTGATAAGACAATTATGAAATTTGTTTAAAATGTAAAAGTAGATGAACAAATGTGTCTATAATAAATATCATTGCAGCTCAACATAAGACCAAAACTTAGCTGAAGTTAAGACTGTTCACCATCTGTACAATATCAGACACCAGATGATTTCATAGATTCACTTATATCTTACATCTCAGCTTTGAAAAGGCGGAAGATGAGAAGAGTGTCGTTTTATGTAACAATATTGAGTGGACATTTTTACCTGTGTGACCTCCTTTCTCAGGTTGACGATGCGGAACCAGTGTCCGAGGCGAGGGAAGTCCTCCAGCTCAGCACTGCGCTCCTCTAAGGCCACTTTGCACTTACAGGACAGCTGGCGGCTGAAGTACTTCACCAACTTCCCCTGAGAGAGAAAAGGACACACACAGTGAGTGACAACTGGAAATATAATATATAATATAACATTTCCCTTAATGTTGGTTCACCAGCGTTAAGGAGAGCCATTTTCACCGTACAACTCTGCAAAGAGGTGAGACAAATCTAACGGAGAGACTGCTTAGGGGACCTGAGTGATCGTCTTGGGGTGGAAGGGATTAAAAGATCTGATAGATAAAAGGGGGCTAAAACATATTGTGTTTTTTAAATACAATTAACACAATTTTAATACAATTTTAAAGTGAATTTGAAAATCAACAGAGAGCCAGTGAAGGGAGGCGAGTACAGGGCTGATGTGCTCCAGTTTACATCTACCTATGTTATAAATCTCGCAGCAGTGCTTTGTACATACTGCATTAAAAGCAACACAGAAAAAACATTGAAATTTGGCACTTGGTAGACATTTAATCCTAATGCACTGTAGAAAATCAAGGCAAAAGTTGCAAACTGTTTGGGTAAACAAAAAGATATAAGAGCTTAACTTCCATAGGTTATCAATTCATATTTACCTATAAAATATATAATCATATTTTCTTATATAACCTTAGTAACTAATGCTTCTATCAAATATTACAATGTTTTGCACCTGATACAGAGTTGTATCAATATATCATTTCAGTGATGTTTGAAATAACTGAAAATGTATAACTTTTCCCTTAGAAACAAAATGTTTGCATTACATTAGAAACTGTTTAAAGTCCCCAGATCAAAATTGCTTGGAATAAAAAAAATGATAGCCAAGGGAATCTTTGGTATCAGCTAGCAGCAGAACTCGCACAGACAGAGCTGTTCACAGTTTACACTAAAGTGACTGAAAACCCTCGACGTCCTGCTTAACCAGCACAGGGAAGATAATTGCAAGACTGTACGTTCCCTGAACCATTCAGGCAAGTGAAGCTGCTCACTGGATAGTGGTTGGAAGCTGTGGTTATACTGGTGATATGCTGGACTTAAAGTAAACAACCCTTTTACTGCAATCTTCATCACCATGTGTAGAGTGAACGAGAAACAGGCCATTTCATATATTTTGGAGTTCAACTAACTTCATTTTTTAGTTAGAGGAAATATTACGTCCCTGACAGACAAAATGTTCATATTTGAATACGTCATTCTTTCTTTCTGATTTCTTCTTTTTATGATTTTAAATGGTGATACCTTTGAAAACAAATACTAAAAGTGAACCTATTTTTCACACCTTACTATGAACTCTTTTAAATCACGCTGCCATGTAATAATTCTTCTTGTTTCCTTCTTAACCACATTGTCAGAGAGGAAACATCACGTCCCTGACAGACAAAATGTTAATAGATTTCAATACGTCATTCTCTCTTTCTGATTTCTTCTTTTTATGTTGTTGAACTGTGTTACCTTTGGAAACAAATACTAAAAGTTAACCTATTTTCACCCATTACCATAACCTTAAATCATAAGCCGGTAGTCTAGCGGTTAGTGCGCATGCCCCATGTATAAGGCTGTAGTCTTCCAAGCGGGCAGCCGGGTTCGAGTCGGACCTGTGGCTCCTTTCCCGCATGTCGTTCCCCACTCTCTCTCCCCAATTTCTGACTCTATCCACTGTCCTGTCTCTAAAATGAAGGTATAAAAAGCCACAAAAATAAACCTTTAAATTTATTTATTTTTATTTTAAAAAAAAGACAAAGCTGTCGCAGTTTTACAACTGACACATTTTTGAGGGCTTGTTTTGTTATCCAAGATTTTTTTGGCCAATTATCTTATGCCTTAGTTGATAGGACCATAAACCCGAGACAGCAGGGGGGACTACAGCCTCTGCACATGGACAGGAATGCCCAAACTGCTGAGCTAAACCAGTGCGCCATCAGAAATCTTTCCATTGAATATACTTGAAAATATGTCATACACTCACATTTTTTGCAGTTACTAAAGCAATCCTTTCCTTGCAATGGATTATATGGAACTTGTGATTTATTTCTTCAAACATTATTCAACATAGTTTTTATGTCCCACTTATTTCTTATGTATTGTTTATTGACGGCTGATTATTGGTACATCTCATAGGGCAGTGTACTGACAATGAACCTGTGCTTCATTAAATAAAGTAACAAATGTTTGTTGGGACAACAACGAGTTCACTCCATGGTCATGGGACTCATAAGAGCACTTCATACGTCTTTGTGTCCGAGTCTGTAATTTAAGAGTAATAGAATTACTGTACTTGGGGAAATAAGATTTCATAAGATGACAATGACATGTTTGTCATAAGTGTTGTTTATGCAACGTTTACCTTAACTATGTTAAAGGTCACATATTGTACAAAATCTTCTCTACCATGTTTTTCTAACACTAATACAGAATGTGTCACTACAATGCCCCCAATAATGAGAAAAGTCCATCCTGTCAGTCTTTTGCCTGCTCCACTTTTCAGAAAATGTGTGCCTAAACAGGCCGTTTGGAGATTTTCCCTTCATGACATCACAAAGGGCAGAAACCCCTCCCCTAGTTGGGTGACACTCCCACAGCTAGGTGTTTGTTCTGCCCTCTGAGTCTGCCTTCTAACGGTAAACAACGGGGGATGCAGTGAGAAAGCCCGAGCCACCCAAGCCCTTCCAGAGAGGGGCGGAGTCAGACACAGCTCATTTACATTTAAAGATACAGACACAGAAACAGTCTGTTCTGAATAGGGCAGAAATAGAGGGGTTCATAGGCATGATTAAATACAGGATCAGAGTGAATTTATAACAACATACTTCAAAGACATGTTTTGGTTGAGCTCTCAGACTTATTTAAACTGGTTGAAAGGAGGATCATATGTGACCTTTAATACATTTAAAAGAGAGTTATTTGGCAATGTTACTGCAAGCAGGTTTGGGTAAAGTAAAGTTTAAAATAATCCACATTACAACTTCACTCACCACAGCAATTTGTCCCAATATGGATAAAAGGTAATTTAACTGCTTAATTAATCATATAAAATAATGTATAAATATTAAGTAAAGAGTAAACCAAACTGAAATGTTAGCATGAAAACATAAACTGTAAAGTTATGTAAAAAGAGGTGATACCATAACAGTATATGTCACATAATATCCTAATAAATAGTGTAAACATGTGAGTACACTCTAATTATTCTACAGTACGACTTTTTCATTATTGACAAAAGTTTTTTATATTAATTTCCTTCATATTCTGTAGATCTTTTAAACTCTTTCACTGTTTCTTGATTTCCAGTTTCAGACAGCTCTGAGTATTAACTGTAGATTTAGTTAGTGACACACTGCAGGTCAGAATTCATGTCAAGCGTGAACCTATTGAACTATTCCTTTCATTCAGTCCTTCCAAAATGTGGCTTATTTTGAAAGTAATAATGAATTCACCTGACTTCAGTTGGACTCTGAAATACAAGACCTTCACAAATAAAAGACGGAGTTTGTACTTTACAAAATGATCTACTTCTTTTAAACTATATCCCTACAGTCTCTCTCTAATTTTCTGACATATCATCTCTTAGATAGTATTACAACTTTATGTAGCCTATTAAAAGCTTAGTGCTGAAAAAAGAGAGCATCAAAATCAAGTCATTAAGGATTCTACATTTTATATATGAAGTAAACTAAGCATGTTTATGAAGAAATAGTATCTTCTGTTTTGACTTTATTTAAAATGTATCTAATAAACAGCAAGACAATATTCCTACTAGTAAATGTATAGTGAATCTATTTTGAGCAGAAACAATCGGTCTGGTTGAAGCTAATGGTCAACTCATGTCCTGTCAGGCCCACAATGGGTGACGTGACGCTTGAAGACTTAATGATGAGCTGAATGGCCCAATTCCAAACAGACACCCACTAAACGACTGCTAGAAATTAGACAGAGCTGGCTTACATCAGTGCACACCAAAGTAGAAACCAGTGGAGGAGGGACTCGCAAGTCACCTCTGAAAGCAGAAAAGCCTGCAGCAGCTGCCCACGGCTGCTAACACTCTTCTGCCCGTTAAGGCGTCTGCTCAGCGCACACACCCACAGAGAAACACACATTCACCCTGGCTAAATGTGTCTACTTCTTTATTATAGTCTCACAATATATACAGTAACAACTTGTCTATGAAATCACATTAAAATGTTAGCATAAAAGAGAGCAACATTGCCTGCTCTAGAATTTCTATTGTGAGAGGTTCTGATTCATTGCAAATGAAAGAATGATGAGAGGAAGAGAAAGAGAAAGAGAGGACAGAAAGAGATAAAAAACAATAGAAATGTTAAAGACTTTTCAATGGATACCTTTTGGTTTAATATCCTAAAATCCTCATACATTTACAGTAACTGTAACCTAGATTACTTTCTTGCCATTTCATCAGAATGATTCCCCATGGATTCAAAGACCATTGGTTCACGTTCATGGTGCCCCTAAGGTTTCCACATCGATCATCCTCTGACCTCGGCAAATCATTTGGTTTAATATGACATAAGATAAGACATACTTTACTATCCCCAAAGGGACATTTTTCTTGGACTAATGATTTGAAAGGTAACTCTGCAACGTTTAAACATTGGCTGTGTTTGAATATTATTTCGGGGTCTAACTGAAAGAAAGATACCAAACGTTTTGAAAGTGACCCAAACATTCCCGGCAGCAGAAACAACAAATGCTAACATTGTCTTTTGGGGCAAATGCATCGGATTAAAGTATGTCTCCTATTTGTCAATGAAAGACTAAGATTGTTTATTTGCTTTTTGAAAACCTTGGGGAAATGGGAAATATACCTTTTGTTTGAAGAGTTAAACTATTGTGTGAAACCAGAAACAGCCACATCAATCTCTCTTTAAAACCACCTCCATTGACGGAAAATAGACATCTTACCTTACATTAAATAAAGTAACAAAAAAAAGCTACTTTACTATGACAACCTCAATAATTTTGGCCGGCTGTTGCTGCGATTGATCTAATCTAACAATGTTTAACACACAAAGAAATACTTAAACAAAAAGACACTAT